TATACTACTTTTCTCCCTGCAGCACACAGGCCAAGGTTCAGTGTCTTGCCCAAGGACTGTTTGGCACAACAAACTGATTGACCATTGACTTTCTGGTTAGTGGACAACCCGCTCTAACACCAAGGCTTACAAAACCTGCATCAGGGGAACATTCATTCATTCATCTATATTGCTTATCTTTTAGGGGAAGCTGGGGCCAAGAGGTGCAGTGCTTACATTCCCGCCTACGGTCAATTTAAAGAATCCATGTAACTTAGCCTCAACCTGCGTCTTTGGACTGTGAGAACAGCTGGAGCAACTGGAGAAAACCCACACAGACACGGGGGGAACATATAAACTCCACACGGAAGGACTCTGACTGAACCGTGTTGTCCTTCTGCAGGACAGGTGCATGTAAATGTGAGAAAAGTTATAATGTTCTGGTGGAATTCCTTTACCCTGACCTATTTATCTAACATTTAAAACTCATGTGTTACCTCTGAACACAGTGATGTGAATTCTGATGACTTACTGTTAATATTAATGAAAGATAACATTGCTGCAATTTCAGCATCTAATCTCTTCAAATGTGAACACACTGATCCTGATCCTGTTGATTAATCCCACACTACACAAACAACGCACGCTTCACAGATATTCAAATATGTACATGTATTGTGTTACTTGTGACTTGTGCCAATAAACTGACATCAGCTGCCAGAAAAACCTTGTTCAGGTGAAGGGAGGGTAAATTTACACGAAGCTGGTTTACATGTGACGGTTTGAAGTTGTGAGCAAAATGATCTCGTCGCTTATCTCGCTGTCAGTTCACACGGTGATGATCCCGTTACCTTCTGCCAATTCATTTTCTCTGATTAGTGAACAAACACATTTGGATTATGGAAATCCTTTTGAATTATGAAACGCTGCGCTGTGTTGCTCCGCGACATAAATGGATGCATAAATACTTGGAAGGGCTCAGCGTTTCTTTCTTTTATCACCGCTCTGCTTTGTTTTATTAAATTGGAGAGTGAAGCGAGCCAAAACCAACAGGGAGACAGGAGAATAAAGAGAGAGAGGGAAGAAGACAGGAGACGAGAGGAAGAAGAGAGGTGATAGGAGGGAAAGAGAAAGGCCAGACTGCTGCAGACCAATGAATGTAGGCTTGGATGATTGGAATGAGACACAGACGGATTAGGCGTTTAGTGACAAGAAAGGAGAGTAGAGGAGGGGGAATACTTGGCGAGGGGAGGGGAGGCGGGGGGGAACCCAATGCTGAAAATATCCGTGTGAGAAATACGGAGAAGAGAGATGGGAGTGAAAAGATGACCCACACTTGCTGCACTAACTTCCAAAAGTGGAAACAGCGATGCATCCTCAAAGGCAATGCAATTGGTGTTTCCTGCCTGTCAATCATAAAAACAAGGACTCAAAGGCCCCGCCCTCCAGCTCTCCATATGTTTTGTCACCATGGCGTTAGAGGACGTCAACACAAGCTAATGTGGCAAGACAGATGCTGGCTATTAACATTACGTCCAGATCAGGTGACACAACTCCGGGTCGGAGGTCGTCATGACCAGTGTGACACCTGTGACACACAATGCTAACAAATGATAGGACAGGAGTGTTTATGTGTGTGTGCGAGTGTGTATGTGTGAGGGGGGGGGGCACACCTGTCATCTGATAGCACTTATGGTCCAGCTGAAAAATACTTGAGCAATCTGTCAGCAAACATGCAGGGACCATGTGTATTTACTGTATGCTGCACACACACACACACACACACACACACACACACACACACACACACACATTTACTGATCATAGTGTTAATGATGTGTCGAGAAGGTGATACTTTGTGTGTGTGTGTGTGTGTGTGTGTGTGTGCSTGTGTGTGTGTGTGTGTGTGTGTGTGTGTGTGGGATGAATTTGTTCATTGACTAAAATGATTTAGTGCATCAACACCATCTCTGTTTGATATATTAGGCCTTCAATCCATTTGCGCTTTGTCAAGCACATCGCCATGTGGTTATTTATGTTCTCTCACTCTCACTCACACCCACACACACACACACACACACACACACACACACACACACACACACACACACAGGGCTTGACTGACCTGTAGGGCATGCCTGTCTTATGTGCCACTGTCTCCTCTTTGCCCAGTCCGAACATTTTCAGGTACCAGGTGGTCTCCATCTCCCTGATCAGTGTGGCCTTGTGTCTCTGCTGCGCCCCTTGCTTCCCGGAAGAGGAAGTGCGCTTGGCATCCTGGGAGCTGTTGCGGTTGGCTCTTGTGCCGCTCAGAGAGGCCACCGAGTGCTTGCGGTGCATGTGTGGCGGCTGGTGTCCCCCGCCGACACCCCCTCCGCTGCTCCGGGCGGCAAGCATGGCCCCAGAGGATGCCCCCTCCCCTCAAGGGCAGAGTTCAGGGAACAAGGTGAAGAGGGGGAGTTTAAAAGTTTCCAAGTATTTCCAAGATCTTCGCCCCCTTTTTCGGGAAGAGCGATCAGTCCAGTGATGCCTGTCTAAGAAAAGCTTGTTTTGTCTGACTGTCAGAGTTCAGTCAGCGCTCCGTCTCTCTACTTTCTGACCATCTTCTGAAGCTCTCAGCTCTCTGAACTCTGTTTTATCTTCCCCCAAGTGTTTTTTGTCTGATTGTTCTGACTTCTTTCTGTCTTCTTCCTGTCTGTCTCTCTCTCTGTCTTTCTTTCCCTCTGTGAAGTGTGCTCTCTGGTCTCTTATAGCCTCATCCAGCCTGAAACAGGATCCTGGGTTCCTTGTCTCGTCACAGGCTGCACTGGCCTAAAGGGAGGGAGACAAACATGCCAGGGTGTCAACAATGTGCACATGTACATGCACTCACAAACACAAACACACACACACACACACACACACACACGCACACACACACGCACACAGACACACACACACACACACACACATATGTAGTCAAACCTTAAAATTAAATGAAAATAAAAAGAACACTCAGTGTGGATTCAAGCAATAAACACAGTTGAAATTGTTGCATGTAACTATTAACAATCATCAACACACACCACATGCACCCTGGCACACAGATTGTTTCTCTTTATCTTCAGACTTGGTACCAGGAACAACTCTATATTTACACACCTTCTGGACCACTTCAGAGTCTGGGAGTCTTAACACCATTCCTTGTGTCATAAGACTCCACGCTGGTGCAGGAGAAACACAAATTTACACCTTGCAAAGACATAACAATGTTCAAACACAGACATTTGTCTGCAGCAAATATATGAGCACAAATATAGAGATGTGAGTGTTTTGGGCGTCCTCCTTCGCCAGAACAAGAAAAGTGTTATTAAGTCATAACATTTTGATGTATAACATATACAGAT